CATAATCATAGACTGGTCCGGATTTGTTCTTGAAATGATAGGCAGTTTTGTAAAAATCACCATAAATTGTAGAAAAATCATATAGAGATGTGCAAGTAGCCATTATAAAGGTATGGATCTGAACTATTTGTAAATAGTACAGTTTTGAATACTAAAATATTTAAGTTATCTAAAACAGTCCGTGAATGGAGTTCAACTTTTCTGATGAAAGTTGTTGGAAAAGTTTAGTTCTTTTCTTAGTATATTAACTTGTATCCCCCCCTCTCTTAAAACTTAAGAAAAAAATGAAAATATATGGGTATGAACTTACTTTGTGTGTTCTTAGTGGATGGATGTTCAAGAAAAGGAAGTGTTCAACTCAAGAACACTTAGAAGATGCCTTGAAGGTTCGAAGATCTAACACAAATGTGATGGAATTTGTGTAAGTAATCTATGATTTGGTTGAAGGAATTGGATAATCATATGAAGGATAATATTACTTACCAAAAGTAGATGGAGAACTTGAAAATCAGCCTTGAAATCTCAAAATTTAGAGAGAGAAATGAGAGAGAGAGAGAGAGAGAGAGAGAGAATGGAGTTTGTTTTTTGGTGGAGAATGAGAGAAATGTGAGGAGGGGTAAGGGTTTCTAGCCTTTAACCAAGAGTGTGGCTAGGAAAATGGTGGGGAAGGACAATGAAATGACCAGGTATGGTGGAAGGACAAGGGTTGGTCATTGAGTGGGTATGGGGTGGTCGCTTATGTTATATACTAAGGCGAAGTCCACACTCCACCACAAGTATCTCACCCACTATATTTTAATCTTAGACAATGATTATCCTCAAAATGTGATTAGATTATAGAAATATGGTGTCTTATATGTCAAAATATAAGTTTGGGTGAAAATCCCGTGTCAAAATCACGAAAAACGTGCTCAAAACGCTAAAATATTGAAAACCGGGCAAAAATTGCCAATTTCTGAAATTCTAGGCCGGAGGTTCGGTCCCAGCCCTTAGAACCGAAAGTTGATGGGGGAACCGAGAGTAGGGTTCGGCTCCTTAAGTTGTCCATCTCGGACCGAAGGCGAAGGCTTGGACTGAAGGTAGTCCTCACGGACTGAAGGTTACTTTCGGTTCCTTAGTTGTTTTGGTTCAGGAGGTGGTTTCGGTTCTCAAGAGGTTTCGGTTCCTAAGAAGGTTCGGCTCCTTAAGAGGGTTTTTCGTGTAAACTTCCGTTTTTGAGCGGTTTTTGATTAAATTAAGGCTCGGGATGCCCCAAGTGATTATAAGAAGTTGAAAGAGATTTTGAGAGAGATTTGGGAGAGATTTCACATACTTGGAGAGATTTCTCATTCAGAGAGAGATTTGGGAGAGATTTCACATACTTGGAGAGATTTCTCATTCAGAGAGAGATTTAGGAGAGATTTCACATACCTAGAGAGATTTGGGAGAGATTTCACATACTTGGAGAGATTTGGGAGAGAATTCACATACTTGGAGAGATTTGGGAGAGATTTGTTTTGTGACCTTTTTTAGTGTTTGGCTTTGTAACGCAAGGTCCGTAAACCCCGTTTAGCCATGTTTAAGAGTCTTACACACCCCCGAAGGGTATGTAATAGTATTTTATCACTTTGCTATCTTACTTACCCCGATTATGGTTTAAGAAATCTAAAAATACAAACTTTTCAAGTGATGATTTCTTATTAAAATAGTGAAAATAGTGAGTTGTACAGTAATTACATAAATTGAACCCTAGTATACAAGGGTTAGTAGAGTTGACCGGTTTGACTTGACTAGAATTTGACGGTTGTCACAAACAAGTCCTTAGTAGAGCTCGATAAAGAACTTCCGCTGTAAAGGATACTTCTCTGTAAAAGCTTTAGCAGAGCTCGATGAAGAACTTCCACTGTAAAAGCTACCTTCATAATTCTACCACAAGCTTTATCAAAAATCTCCAACTTTGAAAAGTCACAAATCCAATTTCGAATGGCCATACCAAATTCTCCCTCAATTTATAATCAAAAGCATGATTATAAAGCCTTCAAATGGTCATGAGAATGATCTTGAATGGATAAATAATTATCATGCTCCCCCGCGACAAAATGATATATAAAATGAAGTATAAAATCCGAAAAAGTCGTGAAAATTTGACGTTATTGCGAAAAACGACTTTCCGAACCGCCAAGACTTAATGGAATCTTTATTATTCTAGTTCACGAAAAAATATGTGTGTTAAAAAATCCAAAACTGTTCACCGGCCCTCAAAATTGTAAACTTTTCTGAATATTGGGCAGAAACTATCACTTGCTGAAAGACAAGGGCTGGAATGGTAATTTTGCATCAATTTCCCCCTTTAATTGTAACAGTTCCTAAAAATGGATCAAAACAGCCAAACTGTGAAAACAATAGGGACCAAAAATGCCAATTCACTGAAGTTGTAGGGACCATTAATGTAACATTAGTCATCTTCATCCCCAATGTATGTGACCGATAAAAGAACACAACTGGAACGATACCACCACAATTTGTACATTCGATCCGAGCACAAGCAACCGAAACCAAGTTCGGTCGAAGATCGTTGGACGTTGATGCAAAAACCATGGTCGGTCCGAAATCCAACATCATGACAAGCGAAACCTTAGCCAAACCGAATCACAGGTTCGGTTTCGGTTTATCTCCTCTTTCGGTCCAAGCATAAACACGCGAACCCAAGTTCGTTGTTCCAGGTTCGGTCCTAATTCATCAGCATTACCCCAAGGCGAATCTCTATTCTTTCGTTCCAAGAGCTACCAACCGAACTCAAGTTCGTTCAAGGTACATTCCAAAGCCATTGATACAAAAGTGAACTTAAGTTCCAATAGGTTAATTTTGACTTTCGTTTGACTTAAGTTCTTCCCGATTGAGTCCCGATTTCATCACCTTTCGCTTCAAATCAACAGATGATTACATTGATTTCAATCACAGGTTCGCTTCCGATTGAAGAAAGGAGTTCCGATTTCGAGTCCATTCATCATAATAATTCTGAAATCTAGTACCAAGATCGAGATTGGTTCAGATTCTGAGATCGGAACCACTTTTTGATTCCAATCTCGAAACATTGTCACAAGACAACCCAAAGAAATTTTGATTCATCATCTTTCCGATTGTTCCAAACGAGCCATCACAATTCTGAAACATTCTTTCATCTCATTCTGATTCATCGTTGGTTCTGAATGATTGTTCCAATTCCGATAGACATCTGATAACCATGGTCACATTCGTTCCGATACTGTCTTCGTTTCCAAGTACATCTGCAGATGAGTTCATTTGCTCCAATTTTGACTTTTAGCTTTGACAATCAATTGCGAATAAATGCACACAACCATTCCGATTGCGAGACCGTTGCATTTACTGCCATCAATTCATCCTTCAACGAACACCGAGTCAACAATATTAAATCTAAATTTTCAGATTAAACTCCGAATCAACCATTTTTTTTTAACAATTGTTGTTCACAGATTTCATCAGCATCATCGACGAAAACACCACTTTTTGATGCAAGAACAAGACTCGATTGTCAAATAAAAACATTAATTGGATATTAGTTGGTCATAAGAAAAGTATTATTACGAACACTGATTAGAATTTGATATCGATTAACTTGAACTGAAACAACTCAATATTAGGAACATGAATGAATCAAGGAAATCGAGAGCAAAATCGAATGAATTATGCTTGAAATCAAAATTTGATTATGATAATTTCAACAATGGCGAGAACAACGTGAATCGGCGATGAACGTCAACAGGAAGCCAGAACTCGTATGATGAATTGGGTTCAAGATGAATCGAATGAACAATAACAAACAAAAAGGAGATTGAGAATATATATGGGCTGAACTTTCGACTTTATCAAATGAATATCAGATCCGAAAATAATGAATATAATGAACAGTGGTAACTTGTGATTTGGGCAAAAACATATAGATCTATGGATAATAATTAAATCCGAAAACTTTGAGCATAAAGCAAATAAGATCCATAGAAAAACATAAACTAAATGAGAATCGGATTGGAATTACCAAGATGAACAATATCAAACACCATAAATCCATGAACAGTAACTTGAACAAAAATCTTGATTCCATACCGCCAAAACACCAAAATCTTCAATAACTTGTGCAGAAAATCATCAAATCAAGAACCGATACTTCAAAAATCAGTAGATCAAGACCCGCTCTGATACCACTTGTTGGGATTAAAACCCTAATTGAGATTTGATGAACAAGATGCGGAAATAAGAACAAACACAAATATAAAGATTAGGTCGAATGATCACTCGATTTATTAAAAACATGAGTAAATTACACTTTCAGTATAAACTAAAGAATCTAAAACTACATAAGAAACCTCACAACATAGCGGCTACATTTTGTGTCACTCTTAACCCTAATAATGAATAATACATGATTATTTATAGGGAAAAGACAAGTTTTGAGCTTTTAACTTACACTTCATCAAGGGGCACATTGCCATTATCCATGGAATGCTTTTAAACCCTACAATGCTCTTGCCACATTATTTATAGCTTGTTTAATAGTTTTTCTACATCCACAGTTCTATAATTTTTACTATTATCCTCTAGTTACTTAAGGTGTACATACACAAAAAGAAAAAATAAAAACTAAAAAACAGTTAGAAGAAGCATCACAAAATACATCACCAAATGGGACATGTTTTACAAAAAGATTGATCCTTATAAGAGGATATGTACAACATTACATCTGACCTGAAAAGTCAGAAACAAAGAAGATGGTTACAAGGCTTGAACCTGACACCTTACTTATGGATTCTCATCTCCTTACTGCTAAGGCTATCATATAGGGACCACCTCTAATCTATTGTTACACTCACTTGTTGATTATCATATTTTTTACTACTAAAGCAATCATGTGGGGGCCACTTCTCGCCTATTGTTACACTCACTCATGGATTCTCATCTCTTTACTGTTAACCAATCATGTGGGGTCCACCTCGCGTCTATTGTCACACCTCGACATCCTTCATGTCAGTATCCAAAACATCCAACATTTCATATATTTCATCACCATGAGCATGATTTCTATCTCTAGACATAAAATAATCCGTACGACCACCATTTTCAATCCAACTGTATGCGGGTTCCTTCAACATTCCCTTTTCAAACATCTCTCTCCTTAATCTATCAACACATTCCCAATTTCCTTCTTCTGCATACATATTAGACAACAAAACATGATACCCCGAATTCTTATCTCCAACACCCATTTCAACCAACTTCTCAGCAACAACTTTTCCCAATTCAAACTCCCCATGGATTCTACAACACCCCATGAGTGACCCCCATATTTTCAAATCATTCCCCTTCTCCCCTAACCCTTTAACAAAATCATACGCTTCTGACACCCTTCCAACTCTCCCCAACATATCAACAACACAACAATAATGCTCGACTGAAGGAACAATTTCATACTCTTCTTCCATCGACTCAAATAATCGAAGACCTTCATCCACCAATCCAGAATAGCTACACGCACATAGAACCGCAACTATAGTTACAGAATCCGGTTTTATCCCGTTTTCTTTCATTGAATTAAACACATGAAGAGATTTCTCACCCATCCCATGTTGCCCATATCCCAATATCATGTTTGTGTATGTAACTAAATTTTTCTCATGTGAAAGTAAAAATACGTTTTCTGCGTATGTAATTACACCCAATTTGGAATACGTATCCACCAAAGCAGAATGCACGAACACGTTATTGTCTAAAGAATGTCGAATGGAAAACGAATGGATTTCTTTAGCTAATCTTGGAATTCCCATTACACTACAGCTTGGAAGAATCGATGCTAAAGTAACAGAATTTGGTGATACGTTGTGATCAATCATCTGTTTGAAAACATCAAAAGCCTCTTCGATTAGTCCGTTTTGAGAGTTCCCAGATATCATTGTGTTCCATGTTGCTTGATCTCTATCACCTGAAGAAGAAGAAGAAGTTCTCTCAAACAGATTTTGAGCCACTTTTATTAAACCCGATTTTGCATACATGTCAATGAGATAACTTTCCATTCCCTCAAACTCAATATTATGTCTAACAAGATACCCATGTGTTTGTTTTCCAATTTCACGGTTTCTTAGATTCGATGCTGCGGATAAAACAGCGGATATTGTGACATCATCGATCACAAACCCTTGATTTTGCATCTCATACACAAGTTTTAACCCTTCATCATCCATTCCATTCTGGACAAAAGACGAAATCATGGTGTTCCATGAAACTGTATCTTTTTCATTCATATTTTTAAAGATCTTTGAGCTTTCTTCAATGGAATTACACCTGGAATACATGACTACAAGTGTGTTCATCACCATCACAGGTAAAATTGGCATTGTTTTTATGATATACGTGTGTATCTGATTAGCAAGATCCAGCTCCTGCAACTGTGAGGCTGCTGATAAAACAGAGATCAAAGTGACATCATCAATGGCGACATCATCTGTTGCATGTAGAGCATGAATGAAAAGCTTAAGTGCTTCATCAGGTAAATTTTGAAGGACATATCCACTGATCATAGTGTTCCAAACCTCTATATTCCTCTCTAAACTATAATCAAATATCTTCCTTGCAGATTCAAGAGAACCAAGTTCAGCAAACATGGAGATAGCAGAGCTTGTAGCAAACACATCTGTGAAATACTCATCACCGGATTTAGTAAGCAACCCATATAAAACATCAGCAAGTTTGGAATCACCGATTCCTGCTACAGCTGGAAATACATTTACAAAGCTTACCACTGTTGGTTTAAGTCCAGACTTCAAGAGCTTTATGAAATGGGTAACAGCTTCTACAAAAAGCCCCATCTTCACATACCATGAAATCAGAATGTTCCATGAAATGACATTCCTTTTTGGAATTGATTCAAACACGCTTTTTACATCATCATACAAGCAACTGGCATACATGTTCAAAAGGGAATTACATACTATTTTGCTAGGATACAAATGGGACCGAATAATATGACAATGAACGGCTTTACCTATCCGAAGACTTTGAGTTTGGGCGCAGGCTTTGAGAATCGAAGAGTATGTGTAGGAATCAGAAAGAAAAGAGTTGGATTTCATTTGGGAGTAGAGGAGTATGGCTTCATGAGGCATGTTATTACAGATGAAGCCAATGATGATTGCGTTCCAAACCACGGTTGTTGGACTGGGAATTTCGTCGAACAGTTGGCGGGCAAGATGGGGTTGGCCTTCCCGGCATAATTGGCTTAGGCGGTATCGAACTGTTTTAGGTCTGGGTTGTTGGTGCAGCTCATCTTTTGTCCATCGGACGTGTGAAGGAGTGTTGGATGGTGCAGGTAATTGTAAGGAAGAAGCATGGCGGAGTGCTTGACGAGTGGGGGATGAAGAAGAAGAGTTCATGGAGAAAGAAAGAGGGAGAAGAGACGATGACATCGTGAGGCGAATATGTATCGAGTTATCTGCCACCAGAGAATCAAAGAAACACTTGCCTTTGCCTACAGTCATCGAGTGGCAGTTTAAACAGATAGAATTGCAGAATTTAACAGCATCTTTCCTTCTTTTGTCAATGTAAAAATATGTTTATTTTATTAAAAGAAAAAGTATTAATATTTTTAAGAGTAGGTTGTTGGAACAGGTCCCTAGGCTTTGTCAAACTTTGCAATTTTAGTCTAGTTTTAAGACCTAGAATTACTAAACCCTTTATAATATTTTTATTATAAATTGCAAAATCCGTCCCTTTGGTTGTCATATTTTTTGTGGTAGCGGTTAAAAAAAAAAGTTTACATTTGTATCGATATTTCAAATTTGAATATTTTTGATGATTTTGATCCCTGCACTTAACATACTTAACATTCGTTAATTTGCACTCTTAATGCAATTTTAGGTCGAACAATTTACTAAACTTTTGGTTATGAAGTGTAAAAAATATCCTTGTGGTTGTCATATTTTTTTGTGGCCCTGGTTCAAAAAAAAAGTTGGGAAAATGACTTATAAGGGTAATAATGTTTCAAAAATGTTCAAAAAACACCATCCAAATTTTACCTCTTCAAAAAATACCATCCAACTATAGGTTATGTATAAAAAACACCAACCAAGTTTATCTTTTGTTCAAATTGCACCTAATGGTAACTGGCAGGTGTAGGTTGCCAATTTGATTTTACCTGTTAAACAAAATTAAAAGAAAAAAGAAAATGATATAGAGTATACGTCGATTAAGTGAAGCATATGTGGTATTTTGGCTCATTTCTCGTCAACGGCTGGAAGAGAAGGAAAGAGGGGGAAGTCGCTTCCTCCAGGGTTTCATCGATCAACAATCCTTCAACAAAATCTGAAGTTGATTCCTCTAGGGTTCATCTTCATGTAAATTATACTCTCATCTTGAAGTCGATTCGTGCAGATTGTGAAGAATGGTACTAGGGCAAAGCGTGAAGATGCAAAGCAGCAGGAGTAGAAAGCGTCGTAAGCTCAGGAGAATTGGGGGGGGGGGGGGGGGGCGAGGCGACAACCAAGGACGATGACGTATGATGATTAACAGAAGACGATTCCTTTTTATTTCCATTCGTTCAAATTGTCGTAAACTTAAGGGGTGTTTGGCTTACCTTTTCAAGTCCAAAAGTTCTTTTTAAAAAAAAAAGCAAAAAATGTTTGGCAAAGCTAGTTTTAAAAGTTACTTTTTGGAAAAGTCAGGAAATCCTGATTTTTTGTAACTTTTCCAAAAAGGACTTTTAAGCTTTTAAAAGCTAAGCCAAACACCCCCTTAGTAGATCTAGGAACAACAGTTTGAAGCATCTCATAATGTTTCTATCTGTTTTCCTCTAGACATGAATCAACCATATGAAAGGATTGTTCGAGGGTACATGGAGGAGAGGTCGACCGTAACTGCCATAATTTTCGACACGGGAACTGTAGGAGCGGGATCTAACGTCTTTGAAACAACAATTTCCGGTGATGCAACGAAGGATGGAGGGGGAAGGCATGGTGGAGAAACGACGACCAAACCAGTCTGCTTGGTCAAAGAAATTATTTTGACAACAGAGGAGGTCACATCCTCCACACCCAAACAAAGAAAACCCGTTACAAGAACTTCCTTTTTTGGACAGGCTGCAGGAGAAGGTTAGGGGTCTGAGATATCGATAGACCCAAGAGAAGCGATAAACACATCATCAACATCTGAGTCTGATGATTTGCTTCATGGGCTTGAGAGTTAGCTTCATCTTCATTCTTATTTTCTTTAACTTCGTCACATAAATTATAAGAGATTCAGTGAAAAATAAAAATTTTTGGTTGTGGTTGCTATCACAAAAAGCAACAGAAGAAGAAGCTAGAACCGAAGCTGAATCCATGAGAACTAAGAACACCATGAATACATTCTTTCTTTTGAGGGCTATCTTTAAAGTGGAACGTACCATTAGTTTCATCTTCAAGAGAAGAAAAAAGTGTTCCTTTTCTTGTAAAGAAGTCAAAATACAAGTGTCATGTCACCCAATGCTATACCATGTAATTAATTGTTAGGCCAACACATCAATTTTTAATCCTAGTCATCTTATAAACCACAACCACCGGTTACCATTAGGTGTAATTTGAACAAAAGGAAAACTTGATTGGTGTTTTTTCTACATAGATTATAGTTTGATGGTATTTTTTGAACATATAAAACTTTGATGGTATTTTTTAAACGTTTTTGAAACATTCTTACCATTATAAGTCATTTTCCCAAAAAATTTGGACTTGCATGGTTAGAATTTGGATGTTTTTGACTATTTTGGTCCTTTCATTTAAGGTTATTATTAGAAAAGCCATATTATTTTATGGTGGTTTTTGGAAAAGCCTAGCTTGAACAAAAAAGTTATAATTAAATAATATTTCTTTAAATTAACGGAAGAGTCTTTAGACTATTTTTAAAATTTGTGTTGTTAATGCATACTTTTACATTTTACAATTATGTTTATTCTCTTTTTTATACGAATTTGAGACATAATCTAGTCATTTGTATAAGGATTTTCAACATTTGGGCAGCAAAAATATGGTTTTTTTTCGGTTTTTTTATTTTTTATTTTTTTATTTTTATTGTATTTTTAACTTTCACATTTCCTAGGAAAATGCCTTCGAAAAGATATAAAAAGAGAACTGTCATAATAGAGTGTGTCCTCGAAAATGCATTTTAAGATTTTTGTCACCAAAATTGTTATGAAAAACAGCATTAAAAGCGTTGTTCCTCGGAAAATCATCGGAGACTGATCGGTTTCCTTGGAAAACCCTTGGAACATAAGAAAAAATGGTGTGTGATGTATTTCCTCGAAGAATCCTCAAAGTACAAGCAAAAATGGTGTGTATGGGACAAGTACTAAAACTTCTAAAAACATAGCTCTTGTCAGACATGTGTCAAAATGTTGTTCAGATATCCCTTAAATTTTCTTTTCCTTTGAGGACTTTTCCTACAACTTTATTTATTCAAAACTCCCTCGCAAAACCCCTTCAATGCCTTTGTAATAGTGAAATGGATATTCACCATTGCAAATGACTCCACATCTCAATCTTTCAAAAGTAGTTTCTACATTCGTAATTTAATAACAAAAAAAGAACAAGGTATATATAAGAAATGTTGTTCATTTTTTGGCTTGAGAGCATTCACAATAGGAGAATTTTAGGCGGTTTTCAAATCAAAAAGATATTGAGAATTGAAAAAGTTATTGGAGGAGCGTTTTTCAAACCAAAGTATTTTTCAATGAGCTTGCAAATTTGCAAGTTCTTGCTATATATGAGTTTTTTTTTAAAAAGATCGTGGTGAGTCACATATGTTTTTTTTTTTTTTTTTTTTTTTGAGAAACAACTAACCAAATATTAAAGGGAAAGAGAAAAAACGAAATCTTAACAAAATCTAACAAGCAGCTAAGAAAACCAACCAATTACAAATCGATTACAAAGATAATTCATCTAATCGATCCATTTTTTTTTTGGAACATTTACTATTTTTAATACACAGCCACAAAAACGAATGTTTTTTTGACAGAATTGAAGATGGGATCCTTTCTTAATAGAATCAAAGATTTTATCAATTCTCAGTTTTTCAAGACAAAGGTTTCAAAATAATTGTAGACAGACAACTTGCATAACCTAAAGATAAGTAAATTGAAAACACTCTTATTCTTGTCATATAATAAACTTTTCATTTTAAGAGTTTTAGGGAAAAGCTCCACAAAAGCTCTCTCGTATCATGGAACATGGATACTCAGATGTTTCACTCACGTTACATCAACACCTGAAAGAAAACTCAGGAGATGTTTCTTTTAAAGTCCAAAATAAGAGATCCAACAGACTCATACGAAGCACCACCGTCGACCACCGCTGCTCTACTCTTCGCCATCATATCTTTCACCTTCCTTCTGACCTTGTTATCCTCCATCACTCGTCTTACACCACATTCAATCTCCTTCGCCGTGACTACAACTTTATCAACTTCCTGATTAACAAAATCCTTCTTATAATCCAACTTGATCTCCACCGCCAATCCATGCTCCACCACCATCTCAAACGCATTCATCTGTTGCTCAGCGTAGATTGGCCATGTCGCCGATGGTACACCAAACCACAAACTCTCCAACAACGAGTTCCACCCACAGTGAGACACAAACCCTCCGACTGCACAATGAGCCAGCAAAGCCACCTGCGGCAACCACCCAGTCACTTTTCCGATCCCGGCAGTCCGTTCCAAAAATCCTTCCGGCAATACCGTTCTCGGATCCTCACAATCACTCGGCGCTCCTGTTTTTTGATCTATCGAAGTTTGACGCAAAGACCACACGAAATGGTGGCCACTCCTCTCTAAACCATGTGCTATCTCCTTCACTTGAACCTCATCAAAACTTCCCATGCTCCCAAAACACAACACCACCACCGAGGAAGGCGGTTGAGAATCCAACCAGGTGATGATGTCATCATTACCCGACCCTTTTTCGGCAATGCTTTCTAGGTTGAGTATAGGGCCCACAGGATACACCGGTGGAATGGTGTTGTCCTCCAACAATGACTCAATCGCGTGTGTTTCCAATTCCATGAATGTGTTAACAATGATCGATCTTGCTTCTCTTAGTTTCCGAGCAGACCTCAGGATAAAGTCGAGCCCTTCTGGGGTTTGAACGACCCCTGGAAAAACCTTTGTTGGCACTGGATTCATAAAACTCGGAATGGAAATTGTGGAATCTGAGTTGCTCAGTTTAACGATGTCTTCGTTATGATCATCACAAAGCGTCTGGATGTATAACTTAAATCCAAGAAAACCCGCATTAGAAGGGAAGAACACATATGTTGGAACATTAAACTCGTTTGCCACATCTGTCATCCCGGTGCACAACATGTCGACGACGAATCCAGCGACCTGACTTGAACCCGGTTGAGTTATCATGTCGGCCACAATGTTCCTTACGTGTTTGGAATGACTGTTGATAAATTCAATGAAGGTGGTCATGGGATCTACTTTTGTGTCGTGCACTGGTAGGGTTTCATCTTGATGGAGTTCGATGAAGGAGATGTTGGAGTTAATCCAAACCGGTTCAAAGTAGTAGCACACGTTTCTGATTCAGGGGCATTTTAGTCTTTTTCTTTTGAGCATGAATAAGTAAATGCACGTTTGGCATTAGAGAGTTACTGGGTAATCGTTGCAGTTTTTTAGGAGAAGTAGTTTCAATTTAGGTTATTTAATTCCCATTGTAATCGTTGGTTTTAATGAGATCAAATAAACACAGAAACTTTTAGCCCCAATTTCCTTTGTTTTTTCGTCACTTGTGTGCTCTGTTTTACAGTAGCACCCTCTTCTTCTCATATTTGGTATCAGAGCTTACCGGGTTGCCTTTTTTTTTGGTGGATGCCAAAGTATATGCCACGCAACATGACCGGCGAGACAGATGCTTCTAAGAACAAAGATGGACACATGACCCTTCATTATCCGATGCTCGCCAGAAACAATTACACAGCATGGGCGATAAAGATGAAAGTCTTTATGCAGGCACAAGGCGTCTGGGACGCTGTTGAGTCCAAAAATCCCAGAGAAGTCGTAGATGTACGCAGAGATAAAATGGCGTTGGCAGCCATTTATCAAGGAATACCGGAGGAATTGTTGTTATCATTGGCGGAGAAGGAAACAGCCAAAGAAGCATGGGAAACTCTCAAGGTTATGTACATGGGTGCGGAAAGAGTAAAGACTGCAAAGGTACAAACTCTAAAGGCGGAGTTCGAGGCGTTGAAGATGAACGAGACAGACTCGGTTGACGATTTCTCCATGAAATTGAACAACCTTGTAAACAACATACGTGCTCTAGGAGACAAAATTGACGAGGCGTATGTGGTGAAGAAGTTACTTCGTGCAGTCCCCACAAAGTTCCTCCAAATTGCTTCCACAATTGAGCAATTTGGAGACTTAGATACTATGTCTGTCGAAGAGGTGGTCGGTAGATTAAAGACCCATGAAGAAAGAATCAGGGGCCCAGGAGAAAGTGACGAGAAGAAGTTATTACTCACTCAAGAAGAGTGGAAAGCAAGGTTCAAGAAAACAGGTACCGCCGAGTCATCGTCAAGTCAGAAGCATCAATCGTCAGATGCTGGACGTGGTCGGGGTCGTGGGAGAGGCCGTGGCCGCAGCAATCGTGGCGGACGAGGAGGTCGCCATAGCGGTGGGTCAAACCAAGGACGGCAGGAGGGCCGTGGTTACAACGGAAGTCGGGACAAAAGCACAGTGAAGTGCTTCAATTGCGACGATTATGGACACTACGCGGCGGAGTGTCCTAAGCCCCGAAGAGAGAGAAATCAAGAAGCCAACCTCTCTCAAACCCACCTAGATGAACCAACCTTACTTTTGGCGATGCAAGGAGAGATCTTCTTGAATGAAGAGAATACCACACCCAAATTACTCGCCATGCGTACAGATGGGTCTAACTCAAATCTGTGGTACTTGGACAATGGGGCGAGTAGCCACATGACGGGACAGAGATCGGTGTTTTATGAGCTGGATACAAGCATCAGAGGGCATGTAAAGTTTGGTGACGATTCAGTAGTGCAGATAGAAGGCAGAGGTTCGGTATATTTGCAATGTAAAAACGGAGAACAACGGGTGTTGCGTGATGTCTACTACATCCCGAGCCTCCGCACAAACATCATCAGTTGTGGACAACTTGCTGAAATTGGGCTCAAGGTGGTGATGCATGGAGAGTTTCTGTGGGTTTACGGAAGAAATGGTGAACTCCTCATCAAGGTAAAAAGAGCTCCTAATAGACTGTATAAAACTCTCCTGGAAGTTGTTAAACCAACCTGTTTATTGTCTAAACAATCTGACCAGACATGGCTTTGGCATAAGCGCCTTGGTCACGTCAATTTTCAAGCTATGAAACTCATGGATGACAAACAGTTGGCTGTTGGTTTGCCTAGTATCAGTAGTCCAACTGAACTGTGTGAAAATTGTGTGATAAGCAAACAAGCTCGTGCACCATTCCCGTCACATGCAAATTTTAGAGCCAAAAAGGTTCTACAACTTGTTCATGGTGATATTTGCGGTCCTATCACGCCACCGACACCAGCCGGTAATCGTTATTTCTTTATGTTAGTTGATGATTACTCACGTGTGATGTGGACTTTTATGTTAAAAACGAAAGATGAGGCGTTTGATTACTTCAAGAAATTTCGTGCACTGGCTGAGAACGAATCAGGTGAAAAATTGCTCATGTTCAGAACCGATCGGGGAGGAGAGTTCTTGTCCAAGAAATTTGAAGCTTATTGTCAAGAAACGGGTATCTTGAGACACCTCACATCACCGTACTCGCCACAGCAAAATGGAATCGTAGAGAGGCGTAACCGCACCATAGTCGAGATGGCGAGAAGTTTGCTAAAAGAAATGACCTTACCTGCTTGGCTTTGGGGGGAGGCCATACGACACGCCACTTACATTCTCAACCGGGTCTCAACTAAAGCTCTACAGAACTTGACTCCATATGAGGCATGGTCAGGAAGAAAGCCTAATATTGAACACTTAAGAGTGTTTGGGTGTACAGCTTACATGAAAAACAATACTGGGGGTTTGAAGAAACTAGATGATCGGAGCAAAGTTGTAATTTATTTGGGATCAGAACTTGGAACCAAAGCATACCGACTGTATGATCCAGAAACAGGAAAGATGCACGTGAGCAGGGATGTCAAATTTGATGAAGGAAGAAAATGGTTATGGTGCTCTGAAAGTATAATTAGCTCAAGCAATGGTACAAGTGATTCAGCCACAAGTACAACCTTCATTTTTGAAATTGCCGATGAAGACCCATGTGGGTTTAGTGATGAAGAAGGGTACCAGACCCCACAAAGTCCACACTATTCCTCAAATGAAGTTTCACGTGAACAAGAAGAAGCTGAGTTTCCAAGTCCAAATGTTATTACACCTGAAAGCTCAAACACCCAAAACACCTCTACGGCAAGTTCACATTCAACACCTGCTTCACCGGTAGAAAATGTTGAATCGTTATCCTCAAGCAGCGAAACACCACCTCTAAGATATCGATTGCTATCTGATATTTATGCTGAAACCGAGAGAATAGAACTCAATGATGAAGAGTTATATTTCTTGGGAATGGAAGAGCCTACAACCTTCGGTGAAGCTACAAACGACAATAATTGGCGGAAGGCAATGATGAGTGAGCTTGAAGCAATCGAAAAGAACGGCACGTGGAAGCTAACGACTCTCCCACCGGGCCACAAAGCCATTGGATTGAAGTGGGTGTTCAAACTAAAGAAGGATACAGGCGGTAATATTGTCAAACACAAAGCGAGATTGGTCGCAAAAGGCTACGTGCAGCGTTACGGTATCGACTACGAAGAAGTATTTTCTCCGGTGGCCCGAATCGAAACCATACGCCTACTACTTGCTCTTGCAGCCAAACAAGGGTGGGAAGTACATCATCTTGACGTTAAGTCAGCCTTTCTTAATGGCGATCTACAAGAGGAGGTATATGTTTCTCAACCGGAAGGGTTTGTCAAGGAGCAGCATCAAGAAAAAGTTTACCGTCTGTACAAAGCCTTGTACGGTTTACGTCAGGCACCAAGGGCTTGGAATGCAAGGTTGAACAAGTGCTTAAAGGGACTCGGCTTTGTTAGGTGCCCTCAAGAACATGCAGTATACACAAGACGCAAAGCGGGTCAACTACTGGTGGTGGGAATATATGTCGATGATTTGATTGTTACAGGTACAAACGTGACTGAAATTTCAAAATTTAAACAGCAAATGAGTGCTGAGTTCGACATGAGCGACTTGGGGCTGCTGTCCTACTACCTGGGTATTGAAGTGAGCCAAAAGGAAGGTCGAATCTGCTTGAAACAGGCAGCCTACGCTAAGCGGGTGCTCGAGAAATCGGGCATGTTAGAGTGTAACCCGACCAAGTATCCCATGGAAGCAAAGTTACATGTCGGGAAAGATGAATTCGGAACACCGGTTGACTCGACAGACTACAGGAGAGTTATTGGCTGCTTAAGGTATCTTACACACACTCGACCAGATCTCATGTATGCAGTGGGTATAGCAAGCAGGTACATGGAGAAACCCACACAGAAACACCAACAAATTGTGAAACAAATACTAAGGTATGTGAAAGGAACTATGGATTTTGGGCTTACATACGAGAAAGATGACAGAAAACATGAAGTGCTGGGCTATACTGATAGCAGTTGGATAAGTGATTTAGATGATAGCAAAAGCACAGGAGGCATGGCATTTTATCTCAACAAAAATCTAGTGTCTTGGAGCTCCCAAAAGCAGAAGACAGTGGCACTTTCGAGCTGTGAAGCTGAGTTTATGGCAGCTACAGCAGCCGCTTGTCAAGGCATTTGGCTTGCTGGGTTACTACAGGAGATAACTCGGGTTGATGCCCGTCCCATTCAATTATACGTTGACAATAAATCCGCCATGGATTTGATGAAAAACCCGGTGTTCCACGGTAGAAGTAAACACATCAACATGCGGTTCCATTTCATACGGGATTGTGTGGAAAGAGGAGAAATTTCTGTCATTCATGTGCGGTCCGAAGAACAACGAGCTGACATCTTCACGAAGGCACTCCCGAAACTGAAGTTTGCTGAGATGCGGGAGCTGTTGGGTGTCAAAGATCTGAGATGAACACGTTATGGATTAAGGGGGAGAATGTTGGAGTTAATCCAAACCGGTTCAAAGTAGTAGCACACGTTTCTGATTCAGGGGCATTTTAGTCTTTTTCTTTTGAGCATGAATAAGTAAATGCACGTTTGGCATTAGAGAGTTACTGGGTAATCGTTGCAGTTTTTTAGGAGAAGTAGTTTCAATTTAGGTTATTTAATTCCCATTGTAATCGTTGGTTTTAATGAGATCAAATAAACACAGAAACTTTTAGCCCCAATTTCCTTTGTTTTTTCGTCACTTGTGTGCTCTGTTTTACAGTAGCACCCTCTTCTTCTCATAGGAGA